GCTCTTCTCTGTTCTGAAATTCTTTTCTTCTCTTTCTTTTTTTGTTATTTCTCACCTCTGGTTTTTCTCTGAGTGTTCGTCTTTTTGTTGTTGTCGGTCTCTTGGGGAGATTAAGCGTTGGAACTCGAACTCTCTTTTTGGTTGGAGAGAGCTGTGGCGTTTCCCTACTGCCCCGTCGCCATCTTGGTCCCCCCTCTCTATATTGCAGTTTTATCTTTTGAATGCTGATTGTTCCTGCAAGCTTCTTATTTTGTCTGCTTTCCCAAACTACATTGTTGACTTATTGCTGAGTCTCTTTTTTTTTTTTTTTTGCCTGTCATGGGGCCTGTCAGGGCCTGGGCACTGTCTCTGAGCTTTTTTTTTTCTGCTTAATTGGTGCTGAAGAATCAAACCCAGGGCCTCATGCATGCAAGGCAAGCACTCTACCACTGAGCCACCTTTTCAGCCCCTTGAGCTTTTTTGGCTCAAAGCTAGTGCTCTACCACTTAATCCACAGCCCCACTTCAGTGCTTTTTCGTGTGGGCTTCATGCATGCTAGGCAAGCGCTGTACCATGGAGCCACATTCCCATGGTTCATATTTTAATGCTTTATTCCCCAGAACAATACAGTCAAAGACTGGTTTCAATGCAACAATTACAGTTATATTTGACTTGATTCCTATGTTGAGTCTAACACAGTATGCCTGGCACACCATTGATACTCCATGACTTTACGTAGAATATTTACCATCTAAATATTAGTCAAATCCTTCCCTCTGTCCTTGTTGAGTGTATTATCACAGCTTTCCTTTGTACGAGTGCCAGCAGAAATGGGGAATTTTCTATTGCAAGGCTATCAAGGAAAAGATAGTGAATAAAGGTGTGCTTTGTATTTTAGGAGAGAGTAACATTCAAGGATGTAGCCATGGACTTTACACCAGAGGAATGGGGGAAGTTGGATCCTACACAAAGGGATGTGATGCTGGAGAACTACAGGAACCTGGTCTCACTTTGTAAGGATGCATTTTATTCTTGTTGTGACTCAGGGATATCATTTGCTCATTGAGAAAAATTCTTTTGGGTTTGGGCCTATTTCGTTTAATGCTAGGGACTGAACATGCCACAAATGCACTCTACTGCTGAACTACACCCACAGCTGAGAAAAATCTTTTTCCCCCTTCTATTGTCTTGCTTATTACGTATCATGGTGTAAGTGACAACCTAATTCACAGTAGTTCAATGGGGAAAAATAGCTTGACTCAGAAAACCAAGATAGCATCAGGAATTTCACCTGCATGTTTATTTTTAGTTGGTTGGTTTGACTTTTCCCTATATTAGCTTGATGCTGAGGTTCTCTATGTGTAGCAGAGATGGCCATCAGCAGCCCTATAGTTGAATTATTCTTCTAGTTAGAGAGCTAAAAAAGGGGAAAAAATGCTTCCGTCCTGGGAATTGAATAAATAAGGTCACATGGCCATTGGAGAAACAATCAGAGTCAGAAGACTAGTCTGTTCTGGATCTTGTGCATACCACCCTGGGGATATGTGCACAATCATGTACTCATATTTGTATGAGGGTGGAAGGTAGCTCCTTATGTACCCAATCCCTGAAGAAAGTGACTTCTAGTCATAGGAACAGGAGGTATGGCAAAATATTGGACAAAATAAATCACAGCAGTTATAATTTTATGGTGTCACTGAGGTCCCATTTTTTCCCCATCTTTTTCCTGAAATTTAAATTAATCAGTTCAAGAGACATGTTCTTCCTTTTTGGCAAACAAAATTGTTTTGTTTTTATAAACCCAGCTTAATTCTTCAGCAAGCTCAGGTTCTTGCTGGAGCTATTTTAGGCTCCATTTATAGTTGGTCATCCTCATTCCAGATCTTTTTTTTTTTTTTTCTAGTAATGAGGTTTGAACTCAGTACCTTGTACATACTCACGTGGTACTCTAACACTTAACTTTAACTTGTGTCTTTAACTCTCATTTTCTGTATAGGGAGCAGAAAATGTTTCTCTTCTCCATTTCCCTCTTCATTTAACCCTACTATACTAAAATCCTTGCTAAAACATTTTTTAAATAAAATAATTTACAAAACATTTGTCTTTCTTTTGGTCATCTATACTTTTTGCACAGAAAACAACATCATCATCCCACCTTTTTTTTCTAATTTTTTTATTGAGATTAATTTCACAGTATTGTGAGATTGTGATACTTAAAGTCACAAACACATTTTAACCTTCATGAGGTAAATTGCCACTATCATGGTCTATGAAGGTTGTGAATCTTATGAGCTTTGACAACTCAACTACTTCGTCCACATTGGGTAATATGTACATTTCTTTCCTTTTGTTTAGTGTAAGCTGTTACCTCTTTCCCTCTCATTCCCTCCTTCCCATTGCTGTCCTTGAGTTGCTTAGTTCATTTTCATCAATGTTCAGTGCAGCTGATCATCCCACCTTCTTTTAACCTTGAAGTTGGCCTGAATCTGAGATGAGTCAGTAATGAATTTCATTAAAAAATTCATGGAGAAATACATTAAGCAGTAGGAATTTTATGTTCTTAACAGTGTATAAATGGTGGATAGGCTCCCTAATTTTAAGTTCAAACTTTCTCTTCCTTTAGTGATACTGAATTTGATGATGGACTTGAGAATCATTTTAGCAGTTCCCATTCTCTAAATGTTTCCAGTCATGTTTTTTTTTTAATATAGGAAAAAATGAATCGACTTGTAATATTTTTAATCTAAAAAATAATAAAATAAATGTCATGCTTTTTGCTTTCTTCCTTTCTCTCCTTTTGTTTTTAATGAGCAGGGCTTCCTATTTCCAAACCTGAGAACTACAATTTGGACAATTCCAAAGAACCATTGAAGCTTGAAAAAAAAGTTTCCAAATGTAGCTATTCAGGTAAGTCAGATAGATTGGAGTCTTCAGAAACGTGTGTGTGTGTGTGTGTGTGTGTCTTTATTTTGAGGGTTATTTTAAAGTACTATAAATAATTAAGGGAAGAAAAAGTAATGTATATCTATCACCAAGATTAAACACATACTAATGTTTTACTTCATTTGCCTCTTTTGTTCTTGATGTCCTTTTTTGGTATTTTTTGCATTGTAAAATACAGAGAAACATCACAACTTTCCTGTGAATTTTCACGTTTATGTAAATAGTTCCAAATATAAAAAATAACTTTACCAGTCCCCTTAGAATCACCTTGGACCTTCTTTCAGTTGCCTTTCTCCTCCCAAGGGTAAACTTATCCTAACTGGTAACACCACAGGCTAGTTTTTTTTGTTCTTAAACTTTGTCTAAATAGAACTATATTGTATATACTCTTATATTTGGCTTTCTTCACTAAACTTTAGCTGTGAGATATATCCAGGTTGTGAAATGTTGTTATAGTTCATTCATTCTCATTGTATAGTCTTTCATTATTTCAGCATTCCAGTTTCTTTTTTTTTTGGTTGGTTGAGGGGCTTGAATTCAGGGGGTGGGTGCTGTCTTTGAATTTTGGTGCTCAAGGCTAGTGCTCTACCACTTTGAGCCACAGTGCCACTTCTGGTTTTCTAGTTGTTAATTGGAGATAAGGGTCTAATGGACTTTTCTGTCTGGGCTGGCTTCCAATCGCAATCCTCAAATCTCAGCCTCCCAAGTATCTAAGATCACATGCATGAGCCACCACCTAGCTTCTAGTTTCTTATCCTAAAGGTAAGCATTTGGGTAGTTTCCAATTTAGAGTACCAAGTGCTATTATGTACATTCTGTTCATATTGAGGTTTTAAACTCAGGACCTCTCACTAGGCTAGTACTTCATCGGACCTACTTTTGCTGTTTTTTTTTTTTGTTGTTTGTTTTTGGGGGGGGGTCTGGTCATGGGGCCTGAACTCTGGGCCTGGGTGCTGTCCCTCAGCTCTTCAGCTCAAGGCTAGCGCTCTACCACTTAAGCCACAGTGCCACTTCCGGCTTTTTTTTTTCTTTTTGCTTATGTGGTGCTGAGGAATCGAAACCAGGGCCTCAGGCATGCAAGGCAAGCGCTCTACCACTGAGCCACCTTCCTAGCCCCTTGCTGGTTATTTTTGAAATAGGGTCTTGTCAATTTTTCTGCCTAGGCAGAATCACATTCCTTTATCACTCAGCTTCCAAGTAGCTAGTATTATAGGTGTGAGTCTCCAGCACCCAGCTTTTAAATATATTCTTCACATATCTTTTCATGAACACATATATGTGTTTCTGTTGGATATATACTTACAGGTAAAAAAACGGGGTCATAGGTTAGGTGCATGTTTTCGATAGATAATGCCAAAGAGGTTTTCAAAGTTTTTGTACCAATTACATATCATCTGCAGAGGATGTGAATTCTAGTTGGTTTACATGATTATCAACATTCACATTGTCTTATCTTCATTTTAGCTATGCTTATAGGTATGTGATATTTTTTGCTCTTTGAAAAATAAACAAATCAGAGATTCAGTTAAAATGCTTTCATTATTTCATTCTCTAGAAATAACACCCGTGTCTTCAGGTTAGAGTGAATCATTTTGGTGTTTGCATGTCCAGTTGTGTATGTGTGTGTATATATGTATGTATATTTTATTATCCTTTTTCTTTCATCTTTTTCATCTTTCTGTTTTATTAATTTATGTTAATAAGTAATGAATCTCTATACTAACTAATGGAGTAAGTCCCTTGTGAATAAGCTGAATGGCTTACTTTTACGTTTTTGTCATTAGCAAGAGTTGCAGTGGTCATTTCTTTATTAGCTTCTCTTCATCTTGACAGTTGGGGGTAAGGTAAATAACTGAAGGAGGATTACTGAGTCTTAAAATATCACACATTAGGGCTGGGAAAGTGGCTCAGTGGTAGAGTGCTTGCCTTGCATGCATGAGGCCCCGGGTTTGATTCCTCAGCACCACATAAGCAAAAAGAAAAAAAAAAGCCGGAAGTGGCACTGTGGCTCAAGTGGTAGAGCAATAGCCTTGAGCTGAAGAGCTGAAGGACAGCGCCCAGGCCCAGAGTTCAGGCCCCACAACCGGACCCCCCCAAAAAAAATCACACATTAGTTGTACTAGGAATTGTCAAGACCCCACCCATTTTGGCCAACAGTTATCAAACTTTCTCACTTTTGTCCATTTGATAGATACAAAAAGCTACTTCATGTGTTTTATTTATATTTTACTGATATGATGATTTAAGGATGTGAGTTTGAATATTTTATGATTATTTTCTCCAGCTTTTCTTGGTTGGAGCTTTGTGTATGTTTTATTTTTTTAATTTGTTATATTTTATTTGCATATTTTAGATTCTAATATAAGATAAAGGTAGCTTTACAAATCATTGAGAAAAAAATGATTCTTCTAGTCTTTGGCTTACTTTATTTTATGGTGTCTTAGAAAGATTGATTTTTTTTTAATATTTTAGGATCAGTTTTATTGATTTTTGTTTGTTTTTATAGTTCTGAGGATCAAGATGCTGTGTATACTGGACAGTGCTCTGCCACTGAGCTATATCCTAAGCTGTTATTGAGTTCTTTAATAGTTCTTTTGTGAATTTTCTTGTGCCAGTGTCAGAAAGATAATAAATAGAGTAGACCTGTGGTATCTGTGGGTCTATAGTTCCAAGGAGATCACAAAGAAAAACAATGAATAGAGTTGAGGTCCTATAATGCTGCTCAAATATCACTTAAACTAAGCATCCTAATTTTTTTTGGGGGGGGGGGATTTGGTCATGAGGCCTGAACTCTGGGCCTGGGCACTGTCCCTCAGCTCTTCAGCTCAAGGCTAGCGCTCTACCACTTGAGCTACAGCGCCACTTCCAGCTTTTTTTTTTTCTTTTTGCTTATGTGGTGCTGAGGAATCGAACCCAGGGCCTCAGGTATGCAAGGCAAGCGCTCTACCACTGAGCCACCTTCCCAGCCCACATCCTAATTTTTACCTTGCTTTTTAGGCACAATTTGCTTTTGGAGAGGCTAGTTCTCACAAAATAAGGACAGCAGATCACACTCTATTAGCTCTAGCTCAAGGGCTGGCCAGGGTCTCATGTAAAATACTAGGCATTAAATAATTAACTTTATGGCCCACATGCTCTCTCTGCATTCATTCAGTTTGACATGGTAGTATGAATGCGGCTATATACAATATGTAAATGAATGGATATAACTATGTTTCAATAAACCATTTTTAGAAAAATTGTGAGCAGGTTGTGACTGCTAACCAACATTGTAACTAATAGTTGTTGTTCAGTATGTTTTGTTTTTCCCAAAACCCAAAAGTGTCAATGTGTGAAATCTCCCTATTTTCAGTTGATGGCAACTAATTTTTAAAAAATATATAATTAATGAAGGCCAAACAAACATAGTCTGAGTCCACATTTTACTGTTTGTAGCTCTGCTTTCTTCTTGGGGAGTTTGATCATTCTCCGACCAAATATCTCTCACCTATCTAGAAGAATCTCATAATTTCATTTCCATGCTAGACCTCACCAGAGCTCCTGTTCTGTCTCTATTTGCTTATGTCAAAGATACCTCTTTAAACAAAGTATTTCAAACTAGCAATTGTTTTAAAACTGCTATCTTATCAGAGTGATACATACCAGAATTCTATAAACAGTCTTTACATTTCCCCTCTTTAATCTTTATCCAACTCATTCACTTGCCTAATGATATTCTAAATATTACTTCATTGTTAATATTCCTTCCTGCCCCTTTTATTTGCCTGGACTACTGACAGTCTTCCTGATTTCACTTTCATCCCTAAATATTCTTTTCTATATACCTGATGATAGTGATGTTTCAAAATTAAATTGGAACATGTGAGCTCTTTGCTTAAAATATTAAAGTGGGTTTTCACTGCCCTTAGAATAATAGCCAGAATTCTGGAGGCCTACAAATTCTTACAGTACTTCATTCCTGGTGTCATTTTGTCCCTATCTTATATTGCAACAGTTCTGCTGAATATTTTTGGTGTCAGAGGACCTAGCTTTAAAAATGACTAAATATCCTAAAGAGCTTTCGTTTATGTAGGTTCTATCTAATAATGCTTAGTGTGTTAGAAATTAAAGCTGGGAGACTTTTAAGCTAGTAGTATATTACTTAAAAATAACAATTATGGCCAGGCGCTGGTGACTCATGCCTGTAATCTTAGCTACTCAGGAGGCAGAGATCTGTGGATCACGGTTCAAAGCCAGCCTGGGCAGGAAAGTCTGTGAGACTCTTATCTCCAATAAACCACTAGAAAACTGGAAGTGGCACTGTGGCTCAAATGCTAGATTACTTGCCTTGAGCTGAAGCATGCAGGGACAGCACCCAAACACAGAGTTCAAGCCCCACGACTGACAAAAAAATAAAAAATAAATATACTATGGGTTAACACAATAGAATTTTTAAGAAAATCTTTTGTAAAGCAAAAAATGTAATTGAGAATAGCAGTGTCTTATACTTTTGTAATTCTTTTTAATATATAACGTATTATAATAGAAAATACCCATATTTCACATCTACTTCTGAATGTAGTTTATAATGATCATTTCAGTTGAAGTATATGAAGAAAATCCATCATTATACAAATACATAATTAGAAAAAGAAATATTGCACCCTTTTCACATAATTATGGCCATTCTTTGGTATGACTCCCATATTGGGTAAGGATACTTCCCTAAAGAACTGGGACAATGCAAAATTCTGAAACTATATCTGTAATTCTAAAATCTGAATTGTTCCTTTAGAAAATACTGGTTCACTAAGTTATACTAATATTCCAAATGTTGGTACTTTGTATTGTATTTTCAAAAATATAACTTTTACTTTTGTATGTATATGTTTGTGTCTCCCCTTGCTTTTTTCCCATCTCAAACCTAGTAAACTATGCATACTCAGTTATACTTTGCTTTTTCACATATACTTAATAGAAGCATAATATTATGGTTTTGTGTGTGCTGATAATAGGGACTTGAACTCAGGACCTGGGCACTGTCCTCTTGGTTTTTTTTTGTTTGTTTGTTTTGTTTTTAATGAGTGTCATTAATTGGGGAAAAGAGTCTTACAGACTTTTCTTGCCCAGGCTAGCTTTAAATCACAATCCTCAGATCTCAGTCTCCTAAGTAGCTAGGATTACAGGTATGAGCCATTGGTGCTCAGTGAACCTGGGTATCTTTTTTTTTTTGTCGATCATGGGGCTTGAACTCTGGGATTGGGCACTGTCCTTGCACTCTTCAGCTCAAGGCGAGTGCTCTACTGCTTGAGCCACAGTGCCACTTCTGGTTTTCTAGTGTTTTATTGGAGATAAGAGTCTCATGGACTTTCCTGCCTGGGCTGGCTTTGAACCTCAATCCTCAGATCTCAGCTAGTATTACAGGTGTGAGCCACCGGCACCAGGCTGGATGTCATTTTATTCCAATGTCTATCTTTCTCACTTAAAGAAGGTACATAGTGTACCATTGTATATATACACTAGTTTATTCAGGTTTTTTACTATTTAAAGTTATTAGATATGCTACCAGTCTTTTGCTATCTCAGTGAATAGCTTTAGAGAATAGCTTTCTGTTATATATTAGTTCATATGTTTGCCTTTATGTGTGTGTGAAATAATAGGTTTTTTTTTAAAGGAACATATTATTTAAAAAAATGTTAGGAAGACTAAGGTAGGAGTAGAATGCATATCTGCATGTAAATAGAAGACAGGCTAGTGGCTCACACCTGTCATCCTAGCTACTCTGGAGGCTAAGATCTGAGGCTCACCATCTGAAGCCAGGAAACTCCATGAGACTCTTATCTCCAATACTCAAAAGAGCCAGAGTAGGCGCTTTGGCTCAAGTGGTAGAATGCTCACCTTGAGCAAAAGAAGCTCAGGGACAGCACCCAGGCCCAGAGTTCAAGCCCCAGGCCTAGCAAAATAAGTAAGTAAGTAAATAAATAAATAAATAAGATTAGAATCTCAGTATTTATAATTGTACTCTACACTAAGATGGAAAATGTATGCATATTTGTTACAACATATTATATAACATGTTTTCTTATATCCTGATCTATGTACTCATTGCCTGCTCATCCACTGGTCATTGCTGCATCCCTTCATACCTAGTCACCTTTCCTTTTTTCTAACTCTTCTTCGTTAGAGTATATCCCTTTTCTGTGCATATGCTTTTATGTCCCTCCATTTGCTTCCCTTTTGCAAGTCATTTAGTAAAGATCAAATCTACTTATGCCTTGAAGGCATACTTTTCACCTTCAATTACTCCTACCAATTATCTAACTGCCTTTGTGTTGAGCTTAGAAAAGAAAAATTGCATTTCCACTGTCTTTCAGACTTGGAGAGTAGACCAGAGAGCAAGGATTCAACTTCAATACAAGATTTATTTAAAAATGAATCACATCATGTTACAGTGAAAGACAGACTGACAAGTGTCCATGACTCTACCTTGGAAACAGCGCTTGAATGTAAAAATTGGCTAGAGAATCAGCAAGGAAATCAAGAGAGACACTTGAGAGAAATGTTCATGCATCTGAATGCCCTCCCCGATGAAAGAGGTCATGAGCAGGATGTATATTGGAAAAGTTGCAATCAGAAATCTCTCCTTATGACTCAAAACCGAGTTCCCAAAGGATCTTGTGCTTTCCATACAGTTGGAAAACAACTAAAACAGAAATCAAACCTAATGAACAAGGAGAGAACACATAAAGAGAAAAAACCTCATAAATGTAATGATTGTGGTGAACTCTTCACTTACCATTCAGTTCTTATTCGACACCAGAGAGTCCATACTGGCGAGAAACCCTATACCTGCAATGATTGTGGGAAATCTTTTAGCCACAGAGCTAATTTAACTAAACACCAGAGAACTCATACTAGAATTCTCTTTGAGTGTAATGAATGCAAGAAAACCTTCACAGAAAGCTCATCCCTTGCAATACATCAGAGAATTCACATTGGAGAAAGACCTTATGAATGCAGTGAGTGTGGGAAAGGTTTCAATAGAAGCACACATCTTGCACAGCATCAGTTGATTCATACAGGAGTGAAACCTTATGAATGTAATGAGTGTGATAAAGCTTTCATCCATTCATCAGCACTCATTAAACATCAAAGAACTCATACCGGAGAGAAACCCTATAAATGTCAAGAGTGTGGGAAAGCCTTTAGCCATTGCTCATCTCTTACTAAGCATCAGCGAGTTCATACTGGAGAAAAGCCATATGAGTGTAGTGAATGTGGAAAAACTTTTAGTCAGAGCACACACCTTGTTCAGCATCAGAGAATCCATACTGGAGAAAAACCCTATGAATGTAATGAATGTGGGAAAACTTTTAGCAGGAGCTCAAACTTTGCTAAACATCAGAGAATTCATATTGGAAAGAAACCTTATAAATGTAGTGAATGTGGAAAAGCCTTTATTCATTCATCAGCTCTTATTCAACACCAGAGAACTCATACTGGAGAGAAACCCTTTAGGTGTAATGAATGTGGAAAAAGCTTTAAATGCAGTTCATCCCTCATCAGACATCAAAGAATTCATACTGGAGAGCAACCCTGAGAAATTAATAAATGTGAATAAATGTAAGTTGGCTTTATCACTGTGTTAAATGTTTGGTGGAATATCCATATGTCTTTGAGGACCAATTTTATTTCATCTAATTTCACCTGCCTAAATTCCATAGGCATCTAATTTCATTTGCCTAGTATATAATTTTGAGCTATAGAAAAAATATTCCTTATGCCCATTGATAATTATGAAACTTCTATCCAGAGATCTTGAAGATTTTATCTTCAAACTTCCAAATATCCATTTATAGAAGTTTAGGAAATTCTGTAGGAGGATAGCTGTAGACATTGTGAAATCCCCTTTCTTGGTCCTGCAAACTGTGTTGTAGCCTCTCATTTTTAAGAAAATTCTTAAGCTAATGACTTTATCATAAGAAAAATGCAACTTATTACGCTGAATCCAAACTAGAGACCTAAGTATACAGATAGTATCATTTCCGTAGAATGTCATTTCTTTTACTAGTCATAGAAACTTTAAGACTAAAAAAAGAGAAAGTGGATTTGATTCCCCATCACTCCCAAAGGGTGCTGTCTAATATGATGAACATAACTAAAATGTTGCATAAAGCTCTAAAATGTGTTTACAGGGACTTTGGGTCATAGATTGTTATCCTGTTGAGATTCATTTTTCTAATTCTCTTCGATTTACCCTGAAGTACAAATTGGCTCAAAACCTTAACTGTAATTATTAATCAAGACACTCTTTATTCTCCTTGGCATTGCTTGAATCCTTGGTTTTATACATTTAAATGATTAGGAAAACCTTGTTTTTCTACATTATTAAGCTTCTTGTAAACTGCTTTTGCCATGTAGAAAAAGAACCATAGGGATATAGAGCACCTAAAAGTTAGGATCCCAGTCAAGAAAAGTACCAAAGTAACTGTGAGACCCTACTTTTCATGTTTCTAAAAGCTCACAGGACAAAACTCAAGTGACTTACTTGAGGATAAGCAGCTTCCTTTCATAAAGAATTTGCCATTTCTCTGGCCTTCCTGTTTACCTGCACTTTGTTGTTCTTGCTCACTTGTATGTTGGTTGGTCATTATTCCAGACTTATTAAGAAAGCATGAAATTATAATGGACCTATTAGTGTAAATTATATGGGTGGCTAAGGACTGTGGGTGGGATTCAAAACACAGAAGCAGGAATTCAAATGTCAATTTTAAAACTATTTCATACTATTACTTGTCATATGGAAAGTATACTATAGAAAATTCTAGAAATATCACAGATGTCTTCTTTCCTGTTCTCTGAATCCTACCTTCCCTCTTATACTCATCCCCTGTATCTTATCCCTGTTACTTATTATTCCTACCTAATAGACCTAGCTTGAGAGCTCCCTTGTGCTCACAAGCATTTATTCTCTCTATGTATGCACAAATCTGTAATACCCATTTCAAATACATTATTTAACAAGGTGGAGAAGTATCAGTCAGTAGGAGACACTTGAAAATGAGTGTATCAAGCTGGTCCCTGGTGGCTCAGGCCTATAGATATAGCTACTCAGGTGGCCAAAATTTGAGTGTTGTGGTTTGAAGCCAGCCTGGACAAGGAAGTCCATGAGACTCTTATGTCCAATAAACTACTAAAAAAAAGCTGAAAGTGGAACTGTGGCTCAAGTGGTAGAGTGTAAGCTCCAGCACTGATATAGAGCTGTGACTATTCTACTCTCTGGTGTCCCATGCTTCTGTTTCGACCAGGAGCTGTTCTTCAGCATTTCCATAGGATCCATTTGATTTTGTTTTTGTTTGTTTTCTGTCCACATATCACGGAGGGAACTATCTGGTGGTTCTAGCATCTATCTCTAAGCTCTGGAAATAAAACTGGGAACTCTAGTCCTTTGCACTTCAGTATTTATCTTTTTTATGCCTGATGTTCAGCCTGATTTCTTGTTTGTATCCCAATGTGAATGTTGCAAGTGTTAATGCTCTGCCTTTTAAATGTTTATGGTATTTATAAACTAAAAAAGATTGCTCTTATAGCCATCTATCAATAAAGATGTTCTGTGTATATGTATTATCAAAAACTTTTGTTACCTGTATCTAACTTCCAATTTGAACTTAAAATAAGTTGTGAAGAAAATCAGGCATAAATTATTTATCATTCAGGAAACCAATAACATTTTATTTATACTTTTTTATTGTAAAGGTGATGAATGGGGGTTAAAATTTAAAAGTAAGGTAATGAGTACATTTCTTTTTAAACACGGCATAACTTCTGGAAAGATGGGATGGGGAATTCAATGTAGCTATGAGAAAAGGAGTAAAGAAAGATAGATTTGGGACTGGGAAGGTGGCTCAGTGGTAGAGTGCTTGCCTCGCATGCATGAGGCCCTGGGTTCGATTCCTTAGCACCACATAAACAGAAAAAGCCAGAAGTGGCGCTGTGGCTCCAGTGGTAGAGCACTAGCCTTGAGCTGAAGAGCTCAGGGACAGCACCCAGGCCCAGAGTTCAAGCCCCCACCATCAACAATACAAATAAAGTAAGACTGTATGTATGTATGTATGTATGTGTGTGTGTGTGTGTGTGTATATATATATATATATATGAAAGATAGATCTATCATGTAGCACTGAATCCTTAGGCCATGTTACAGCACTATTCACTTAAAAGTGATGAGAGAGGTAAGAAGTTCATATAAAAAGCACAGTTAAATGGATTGGGAATGTGGCTTAGTGGTAGAGTGCTTGCCTAGCATGTATAAAGCCCTGGTTTGATTCCTCAGTGCCACATAAGCAGAAAAAGCTGAAAGTAGCACTGTGGCTCAAGTGATAAAATGCTAGCCTTGAGGAAAAGAAGTTCAGGGACAGTGCCCAGGCCTTAAGTTCAAGCCCCAGGACTGGCAAAAAAAAAAAAAAAAAAAAACAGAGCCAGGCCCAGGTGACTCATGCTACTCAGGAGGCTGAGATCTGAGGATCCTGGTTCAAAGCCAGTCTGGGCAGGAAAGGCCATGAGACTTATCTCCAATAAACCACTCAGAAAACCAGAAGTGGTGCTGTGGTACAGTGCTCACCTGGAGCAAAAGAAGCTGAGGTACAGCACCCAGGCCCAGAGTTCAAGCCCCATGACCAAAAAAAAAAAAAAAAAAAGCATAGTTAAAATTATTTCATATTGGATTTGGGAGAAAACAATGTAATGTCACCCAAAAGTATAAAAATGATTGTATCTGGGTATCAGTGGGTAACTCTTATAATCTTACTCAGGAGGCTGAGATCTGAGGATCAACATTCAAAGTCAGCCTGGGCAGGAAAATCCATGCAACTGTTATCTCCAATTAATCCCAAAAAAAATTGCAAAAGAAGGCTAAATAATTAAAATCACTGGAAATTTTATTTCAGGTATCCATTAAATGTCATTTATGGTTTTTATTTTCTTAAATATATTTTCACTTTGTTTCCATGTTACTTGTTTTTTTCTTGAAACACTGAGTCTCATTAGGTACCCTGGACTGGCCGCAAAATGACCCTCCTATTCAGCCTACACGTTTGAAGCTCTATGTCCTTACTTTCTCCCTTTCCTTCCTTACCTCATTCTTCCTTGATTCCCATAACTAGGCCCAGCATCACATGAATTGTCCTTCACTGTATTTTATTGGAAACATAGAAAGCTAAATCCTTGTGGCAGCACTCATAATGCATTCCAAGTAAAATGCTCAACAAAAAGGCATTTTCACTGAATTGTGTTTCTTATATTTTTTTACAATGTAACATTTTTGACTGATTTTATCTATAAATCACCCTTAGATATTCTGAATATATGTATATATCATAAATATATATATATTATATGTGTAGATTATATATTCATATATACATATATATTATATTATGTTATGTATATATGTATGTGTGTGTGTGTATATATATCACATTTCCTTCTCATCTCTCCCAGTTGCCTATAAGCTTGTTGTGGGCAGAATTGTTGTCCTATTAGAATAGTTCACATACCTGGAGAATATAAAGGATGAACCTAGAGATTCAACCATTGCTAAATCAAGGACTGTTAACACCATCTCTACTCTCTTTTCTTCTGTTTATGTCTGCTTTGGTGACATATATTCATGGTGCCAAGGAGAAGACTTCTTTCCAAATAGCTCCCACAAAATCCCAAAGCTGTTTCTCAGCATTGTTTAGCCTTAGCAATAACTACCACTTACTTTTTCCAAAATGGGGTTCTCACATTGGCTGGGCCTAAGGGAGGGGGGAGTCCATCCCGCTCACCCTACTTATACTACCAGTGAGTAAGGTGAGCTTCCTTAAATCCAAATTTGATGATCAGGAGAAACACTGCAATTGGAATATAGACCTCATCTAGTTCCTCAAAGGGGAGCTGTTTGCCAAAGATCAAGCAGTGACACATGGACAGAAGGCCAAAGCCTAGGAAATATTCACTACATCAACTTCATAAGGTTTCTGTAAGAATACCTGAAATGCTTTGTAAACATAGTTTTATTTTAATAATTTTCTATTGTTCAAAGCTAGGCTGGGGTGTGTAAGTTTGTGTGTATGTGTTTACTTATATATGTATATAGTATTAGCAGATACCTCTCATCTCAAAGATATATATATATATATATATATATATATATATATATGCATACATCTCTCACAAGAATGTGAATTCTTAAGGCTAACTGTACACTGCAGATTAGCAGGGAATCTAACATATAAAAATGTAGGAGAAGGGTGATGATATGTGTGATACTCTCCCACTCTATCCCCAAAGTGAGATCAGAGTAAGATCTCCCAGGTTTACCCCCACCATTTGCCTAGTTCATGAAATGCATAAACTACTACAGGGTCATTGTCTGTCTGGGTTGTCTTCCAAGAACACTCACCTTGATGTTCACCTGTATGACCTATTCATTGTGGATGACTTGGAGGTCCTTATAGTAACTCAGAGGCCAACCGATGACACAGTTACCAGCTCAAATACAGCTTTTGTTATGCTGGAAGGAAAGGAGGAAGCCAGAGAGTCTTGTGCTGACACACTTCTTACACCCAATTTTATTTTGGAAAACAGGCTGCACCCCCTGGGTGGGGGCCAAGAAGTACCATCTCTTCTCTATCTCTCTACAGAAGAGAGGACTCACTCTCCCATTCTCCACATATCATAGGATCGGTGGATCAATAAACAGCATCTCTTGCTTCTAAAAAAATGGGGGTGTGACACATTTGTGGGTTGAACCCAGGGTCTTGCTCATGCAAGGGAACCACTGTGCCATTTGAGTCACACTCCCAGTCTAAATATTTTTTTCCTTGATATATGATCATTGTACATACACAATAGGTACCAGATAAAAATTCAATGCAAGTTTAAAATGTTTATTGATCAAATCAAGGTAACTGGCCTCTCCATCTCCTCAAACATTTATCATTTGTTTTGGAAACTTTCAAACTCTTTTCTAATAGTAAATTGTTACCTCTTTAAAATAATCTTCAGCTGATCACAGTGGCTGGCTCATCCCTATAATACCAGCACTTGAGAGCATTATGAGTTCCAGGCTAGACTTAGGCCCTCTTTCAAAGAAACGTCTGCTCTGAGGCAAGATTAGTTCTTCCATACCAGATTCTCCAGTGTACCCTGGCATACACATGGAAACTCACAGAAAACCCGCTATTTCACCATTAGACATTGTTTAGCCTTAGCAATAACTACCACTTACTTCTTCCAAAATGGGGTTCAGAGTAAGGCTTTCAGAGTAAGGCTTTCTCTGCTATGATCTCACAGCATTATGGGCAGATTTTATCCTCTTTGTTTCATGAGTCCTCAATACATTTACATGCACCACCCAAATTTCTGTCCAAGGACAATTTTCAAGCCTTCCATTGATGTAACTTTAAAAAGTTGTGGTATGTGCCAATAAAAAGCTAGTAGGAAGGAGAGTGAACTCAATGGATTGCAATTTAGAAGCAGGTTACAGGTAGAGTCTTGATGAGGCTATAACCTTTTCTCTATCAAAGGCAGCCACATGACACTGAAAGTATAGCTGTACAAAAGAAAGGGAGTACTATCCAGTGTTCCAGCGCACTATCTTTTGGAATGTGACCAAGCATATAAGCATCTTCCTAAATGTCTTTATCCATGTATTTATAATCCCAAAATGCATATAAAGATCCATGCCAGGCATAAAGGCCAAATTTGTAGTAGTCAGGTTCTCTGTTTCTGCAGTAGGATGATGGGCCAGATCATTTGCTTGTCGAAGAAAATGCTAGACATACTATGACCACCAGTAATAATTAGATCAAATAGAATTGGAAGGAATGATGCTAAAGTAGCTTTGCTACAGATCGTGGAGGTGAGACCTTCCTAAAGCAGCTGCAGGAGATAACATGTGCGAGCTCTATGGTAAGATGATAAGGGCAAAGGACTTCCCTGTCAACAAGTGGTTATAATAATGCTTCTTCAACCTGCCAGCCCTTGCTCTGCTCAACATGAATGTACAGAGTCCTGAATGCCTTGAGGAAATCTTGACAAACAGTACCAAAGATAACAGAATCTTGGATGTGAGGGCGATCTAGCTTCG